CATTACATCAAACAGTGACCACAAAAGGAGGTCAAGGGTTAAGCTTAGGTAATTAATTCAATACATATCAAATACAATTTTTAAACACGCATTTTAACACACAAGAATTGACCAAATACGTTAAGCAAAATATAAATCATCCAACTACCCTAGACAGACCGTCCGGACTGTGTGAACCAAGTAACCGCAGGCGTTCATTGCACCCGGTTGGTGTGTAACTGGCATTTCCCATCAGCTGCAACCGAGAGGTTAACCCTAATTGCCTCCGCCATTCCCACGCATGACCTACTCCCTCTACATGAGGAGAGCCACTCACGGAATATCAGGTGATCACCATCAGCGATTTTCCTGGTCACCACGTTACCATTCAACTAATCATCATAGAGGAAAGTTCCTCCTTGGAACGGCGCGGGTCCAATTCCAATTCACAACGTCATCGCAAAGATGGTTCGCATGATATTAGGACTGAATAATATTATTAGAGAAGACGGAAAGGTGAAAAGACGGAAAAGGGAAGACAGAAAGTGAAGGAAAGATTAAGATAGGAAATCATAATTTTTAAAATTTATTTAAAATATAATTATCAATACTTTTATTTACATATACTTCACAATTCCCTTCAAACATCATACTTTCATTCTTAGTTACACTTCGTTAAAAACGAACGTTTAATTCACTGTATAACGGAGTATTGGATAACAGACGACGCATTTCGAAATAGGACGAAAGCTATTTAGAAAGCAGGACGAACGCTATTTAGAAAGCAGTATGATGAAAGCTATTTAGAAAGCAGGACGAACGCTATTTTTAGAAAGCAGGACGGAAAGCTATTAGAAAGCAGGACGACGCTTATTTATACGCGTGCGCAAGGAGACCTTGCGTGATTTAGAAAGTATACTCATTATAAAGTCGGAACGCTACAACAACGACGCTCGACAAAAGGTTCGAACGCTAGCAAAGACGTTACGCCGAACATAAGGTAGAAAACGCTAGCAAAGACGCACGCTCGGACATAAGGTCGAACGCTAGCAAATCATTTATCTGTGAACGAACGTTCGGTCTAAAGACCGAACGCCATCTTAGTACTGACACTAAAGTTAGGATTCAAATGGGGACGCTCGTTTTTTAGCAGCATCTTTCCAAAACGAAAGAATTTACTCTAATTCAAATTTAGAGAGAGAAGACGAACGGTACAATGACCGCACAAGGACGAGCGTATTGATCAAATCAGGAAAGAATATTTTTTCCCAGACTTCTCGTTTTACAATGACTTTACAGATTTTCATAACTTACGATTTCTCTCACCAAATTCTCATTACATTCCAGGATTCAATTATTCATCTCATAATATAAAATTTTCCAGTTCTAACATATCATCATCAACATCAGTTCAAAACATTAACATTCTCCAAAATCATACAGAAAAGTTAATCATATCCTAAATCATGTTTTCTACTGCTCTGCGTACAGTTAACAATAACATATAAAACATACAGTTCAAAGCATTTACCATCATATACAACCAGTACAACAGTACACGTACATGCATTACTTCAAAAAAGTCATATATTCATACAAATTCACATCCAACACACTTTCCGGACTGTCATAACACTCAACCAAGGATTAAATCAAAATTAATTCAAGCTCCCTTACCTGGTTCAGCAGTGACTTCCAAATGCTAAGGTTTCGCTCTTGCCTCTAACAGATTTCTATCCAGGGCAACTTACACAACCAAATTCACTTAAAAACCTAATATCACGAAAACCATAGACAGATCAGACCCCTAACCCACGCATGCAACCAGTAATTTGGTTTTTGCAGAACAGAAGAGAAAGAACGTTCCGGGAAGAGAACTCACCAGTCACAGAATGCAAATTGATCGGTTCAACTGAAAGCTTACAGCTCCGAGACTGATTCCTACGGTTTCTGAAATGGAAACAGAGGTGCTGGGGTGAGTGATCGTAGAGAGAAGATGGGAAAGGGTTTAGAGAGAAGTGGGAAAAAAAAAAAATGGTTGGTTTCGCTGAGTGAGGATGAGGAAGAAGATGAAAGGCGTGAATGAAGTAAGCGTATCAGAGAAATTATTTTCTCTTCCTCGCAGCCAGCAATGCTTCAGCACTGCCACATGTGTTTTCCACTAAGTTTTAGAAGCTTCTGTAGTGAACAGTAGAGTTGTGACAGCGCATGCAGACAGAGGGTAAGTAAAAATTTTTCCTTCCTCTTACGCAGAACCAACGTCCAATCACTGCATGCACTTGGTTCCCACCAAGCTTTCCCGGAACGCTCCCTCCAGGACACATGGCAGCGCATTGCAGATTGAGTGTGACGTGTCAAAACGTGTTTAATGGTGATATTGAAAGAGTGGATTTTGGGCGGTTAATTATTTAGGGCTTCACCAAGGGTCATCATAAACTTCTTCAAAAACGTTTTTTGTGTGACGACTCTAACTGCAGAGGTTTAAAAAATCCTCACAAATTAATTGCAAAGGGTTAAAATCCCCTACAAATTCGAATAAAAAAACCTCCAACATATTTTGTAGTGAGGTGCTAGAGAGCGATGTGTTTCACTTGTCGAGGAGAGGCTGCCGGAAGAGTGATGATTGTGTACAATATTTGTTCTATGAATTTGAATTTTTAAATTCTAAAGTTTTTATTTTGTTAAAAAACTGTGAATTTTTGGAACGAGTTTCATTATCTTAGTTAGAATAGATGTGTGAAAGGATATAGGAAAACTTGTTTAGGAAAGACAATGTTTTTATGTTTGGTCCGTTTTGACTCACTTTTCCCTCCTGGAGTCTACTGTGTTGGCAAAAAGATTTTTTTAATTTGATAAAAAATAGGGAGAAAAAGATTTTAAAGCATGTAATTGTTCTATGAAATATCTTAGGACCATTTTATGTTTTTCTATTGTTTAGTTGGTATTTGCAGGATATTACAAAAAGTTTTAAAAAACATATTTTGATTCATATAAAAAAAAAAGATTGTTGGCAAAAGAGAAGATACTGAAAGATTATGATATTTTGATGATGATAAAAGAAAGTTTAAGAACTCAAAAATGTAAAAGGATATTGAAAGACTTGTAATTTAGTATGTTAATAAGTCTTATTATGAACAAATTATCCTTTCTAAAAAGTTAAGATGAAATTTTTTTAGAGTTTGGTGATAGAGGTGTTTGAGATGCAGTGTTAAATGGTTTATTTCTACCTACTATAACTATAAATGACTTGTAGAAAGCAAAACCTTTTGTGATGGAATATCCCTATAACCCAAGCCACTGTGAAGAAGAAGCTAGAGTCATCTATGCAAGGTGAAGCAAGCTCTTTCTCATAGCCACCATGGAGGTTAAAAGTAGTTTTAGGTTTATTTAGGCCATGTATTCGGTCAAGTAGTATAGGTTTCTTTAGCCATGTTATTTCAGTCAAGCTAGGTAGGATGTTTAGGCTTGTGAAAAGTATATGTCATGGGTAATGCTTTCATTGGAGAGGATTTTTAAGTTTAGTACGTAGCCCATGGACACTCTTTATTGAATGATTAAGAAGATGTTGCTTTGTGAGTGGCCACATGTCCTCCCCTATTGGAGAGGATTTGTGGACACTTGTCCACTCCTTAGAAGGCCTCATTTTTTGCCAATGAGTGCAAGGGTGAGAAATCATTGCTTTTAGGATTTTAGGGACAACTCGTTCTGATTATATATAGGTGTCTCCTCCCTTGTAATCATCTTTTGATGTTAGTAATGTATGGCCCATTGTTGTGCAATACCTACTCATTTTTAAGATCAAGACTAGAGCAACCCTGAGACCTTTTTAGTCACCTTCCTCTTAGAGTTGGCCAAACATCTCTTCTAGCCTTCAAACACCACACTACCACCATAACACCACCCTAGGTCGTGAGTCTTCTTCCCTTTTCAACCATTGCTTTCACATTTCACACCCCTTTGTCCACCATTTCCGCACCATTATCACCAAAAGACCATCCTTCGTAGCATCTGTTCTAGCTTATAATAACGTTTTCTAGACCATAGTGTTTGATGAATAAAGTTTTATAAACATCGTCCAGTGATAGAAAGCGTCTTTATTAAATAATCATCTAATAGACGATATGTGTAACAAACAATGTTTTACAAACAATGTCTAAACATCTAAATGGACAACGTCTTACAAGCAAGCGTTTTATGGACAAAAGCATCTATCTTAATGTTAACACTGAAGCTTCAAATATGTTTTACTCAAATAGTGTTATTCAAGCAAGTGGTTTACAAAATTTATCGTTCAAAAGCTTGCTCAGCGCTACATATCTTAAACAACTTTTGATAAAGCATCTAATGTTTGTCACCATTTGATGATCATATATGTTGAACACTTTAACTAAATGATGCATTTATTAATAAATTGACATATTATAAAATGTTTTGAACATGTTATACATCTTAATGTTTATCAACGCTCAAAATATTAAAAGCATGTACGATAAAGTGTTTTGATGTTTATAAACCTTATTCTTGATATTTGTGCAGATCACAAAAGTACAAAAACTTCATCAAAATCACTACATCCAAGAAAAAGACGTTGAGAGATACGAAGAACATTTTTGGAATGTTTCCCTTGAAGACTTTTGCTCTAACACATCGTACAAGCTACATTTTGCTAAAAGTTATGACAAAACACTATATCTCAAATAATATATTGGCAAAATCATGCACAATTAATGGGGTAATGTCCAAATTTTAAATTTTGACATGTCTTGATTCTCGAGATAGAAAAAAGCCAGGTTGTGTTAAAAACTGCTGCAAGCTTGAGGTCAAGACACTATAGGAGACATAATAGTACGGTTTTACTGTTAAGGACATCTAGGGAGAACAGAAGGCAGTTTGAGCTAAAGAGATCATGCAGACAAAATCAAATGAACTAAGATACTTTATATGATGAGTCACTGAAATCATGCAAAAAGACAGAATTTGAGTTTTTGTTTTAAGGAACATGGGAGACAGAAAGGGTGCCTTCAATATTGGCAGAAAAAGAACAAACAAAATGCTTTTGAGGAAATAGAGCAAATTACTGCAACCCGGGAAATAGTATTGCCCACAGTTGCAGTAGTTGAATCCATTATTTGATCATTCAAGGTGTTTTCAGAGAAATCACCCTCCTTCGTCCTCAAGCCACTTCTTTTAGTATAATCCTTCAAACTTTCAGCTTTGCTGCGCTTGGGCTTGAGCTTTCTTTTTGTCATCCACTTGTTGTGACTCTGCCGAACCCTTTTTATCACTTCATCAACTGAAGTATGGAAATCATTGTGTCCATCTTGTTCGTTGATATCCTGCATAAAAGATAATCGAGAAAAAACACTACTTTTTTGCTTTGCATAACAAGAATTATTATTTTGAGTGCCACCATAACATCCAATATCATATTCATAGATTATTGGATCATCCTCTTTGAAATGACCCTCATTTGCCCATGAAATATCATGAGTAAATGTTTCGTTGCTTTTCTGTAGTGTTATCTCATGACTTGGGTTTTCTTGCAAAGTCTTGGAATGAAATTTGTTGCCTAACCACGGTTGGTGATTATGGAACAAGGAAGAAAAGGGCTCATGTAGACTGCGGCTACTCTTTCCAATATCTGGAGGGATAGGGGATGTCAAAGACTTTAAGGATGGAACATCATCACAAGCCTCAGAAACAACAGATTCTGCTGCCAACTGGTCAGAATTTTGAACCGTGTTTAAAGGTATGAAATCCCTGTTGCTACTATACAAAATAGAATTTTGAAAGTCAACAGGGTGCCACCTGCTCGTATCTCTCAGCTCATTATTATGGATGAGATATGGTTGACTGTTCAGGGAATTCCTTCCGAAGTTGTTTACAGGGGTAATCCTTTCTATTACTGGCTTAGAACCATCAATAACTCCAAAAGATGATGCCTGAGTAAAATTTAAACCAGGAACATCTGGATCATATAGAAGGGATTCCCTCTTAGAATTAGCACTTCCTTGTTTTGCACATGTATTACTTAAGAGCTGTACCTGCATTGGTTGAATCATGGTTGAAGTTGGCCTAAGCTGATTTTGAGCCAAAGAACTATGCTCCAAAATAGGATTGCTGTAAAAGCCAGATGAGTTGATATGGGAATTATGTTGATCAGGAATATCATTTGAAAATATCATCCTCTGATCCGTCTCTGGAAGGGAATTACCCATGAGCCTATCATTAATTGATAAGCTTGCCTCACCATGAATTCTAATTTTATCACATAGACTTTTGGGGTACCTTCCATTTGTGTTTGGCCTGTGACAGGTATCCATATAATCCTCATTCTCATATGCAATAAACCTACTTTCATCTTTTAATCCTGAATAGTCACAAACATACTCACTTGCATTATCCACTGCAGCAAACTGAGCAGCCCTTCCTCGCTTAATATCACTTGCATTTAATCCAGTATATTCAACTTTACCATTGTAATCAAAAGAATCGCCTTGGTGTTTATGCATTATGACAGGTGATATGTTATCACCCAAACCTTGCCCACTTTGACCTCTTTCAATTTGCATTCCATGATCGACAGATCTTCTAAAATTGCCTAAAGGGTACCTTTCTGATTTCAAGTATTCGGTTCTGGACAATGGTCTCCCAGGGAGCTCTGGTTCCAGCTTTCTCTTGCTGAACAAATATATAAGTTTATAGACCTGCACAGTAAATTGATTAAAAATCTTTAAGCAAATCATCCTCATTATTTTTGAAAACCAATCATGTTTAACCAAGAGCAGACCTGATTTTCAGATAGCCCAAAGTTAAACTTGTTAGCTGAAAAGTAATTTTCTCTGATTGCATCACGGAATAATTTTTCTGGGAGTGGCTTACAGAACCAAATTATATCAAACTTAACCTACATCAGATCATTCAGAAACTGTGGTCACCATATCAATCATTAATCAAAGTAAGAAAAAATTAACTCTCGCACTCAAAATCAGAACAAGGAATTGTTCATTCCCGGTGGAAGGGGAAATTTATAAAATGAGGTTATTGAATGGTTACCTGAGCAGGAAATTGCTTCCCCAGTTTCGCAAATGCACCAGGCACAATATTGATACCTCCATCACAGGAAGCGTTGAACACACCATGAAGTTGTCTCTTCTCATATTCATATAAGAATAGAATCATTCCAGCTTTAACCTGCTCTACAAACTGGATTTCAGTTGATGGGAGGCCAAATAGTCCCCTTTCGAAGCATTCTCTTTTAGTCTCACTATTTGACATAAAGATTGCTCCAAAATCCGGGTCTTTCCCATCAGCATTGTTTTGCTTATCGTTCAACCCCATGACGATATATATTTACTATACTACGCTGTCACATTAGAAAATAAACAGCAGTGTCTGCGTTGTGTAAATATAGTCAGACGTAACAAAAGCGTTTAAAACTTCATACATCAACCAGTATTTGGAAAGCTCAAATGACAACCATTACTGTCAACCTCTACAGTTGAAATCACAATGATCGACACACAATAAACTCGTCCTTAAAAATTAAGCAGCAATCTATATGACAATGCTCAAAAGAAGAACAAAGCACATGCACATTCGCTTCCATCACGACAAAATATAGTATGCAACATGATCATTCAGTTCAAACCAGCCAGACCTAAATTATTTTCTCTCTAATTTTTCGTTTCTAAACAAAAATAAATAAAATAAAATCTTGTTAAACAAACAAACAACAACAACTCTATTGTCTGATCGGAACACAAAGAACTGCGGAAGAACATCCACAAACGCAAAATAGAATGATACGATAAAAAAATATGAAATAAAGAACAACAGATGAAACGACGCAATGACGAAAAAGATAACAAATGATTGAAAACGTTACGAATAAAGAACACTGCAACAAGGAAGCGATGATGAGAGAGAAGCGAAGAGAAAAAGCGTACCGATGTAGAAGAAAAAGAGAAGAAGAAGGGTTTGAGAGTGAAAGAAAAAAAGAAGCGCAAGAGACGCGACTGTGTGTAGAGCAATCGACTAACCGTTCTTACAAGAGGGAACCGCATGAATATAAGTGGGTCATTTTGATAAAATTATTTGAAAAAATATATATATGCAGGGGTAGTTTTCAATGATTTTCTGTTATGAGTGGCTCCTGAAAACACGTGGCGCGCTTGTGTGTTCCACGGGGCTCTGGTTTGGGCTTGGAATACGCCACTTGACAAAAAAAAAATACCAATAAATATTTTAGGTATTATTACAATTTTTTTTCTAATTTTCTAATATAAATTAGTATAACAATCATGCTTTGCTTGAAGATTAAATAGTTAGTCCATAAATAAAAATAATTAATTCATGTTTGATATATGAAATAATAAAATAGCTGATTTTAATTATATTGATATAATGGTGATTACTGAAATCAACACCACTTATATATTTATGTCATGAAAGTAGAATAAAAAAGTATATCTTATAAGATTTATTAATTTAATTAAATATACATTAGTATGATAATTTCTTTCTAGCATCGTTCAAGATGTGAAAAAAAAAANAATTTTTCTGGGAGTGGCTTACAGAACCAAATTATATCAAACTTAACCTACATCAGATCATTCAGAAACTGTGGTCACCATATCAATCATTAATCAAAGTAAGAAAAAATTAACTCTCGCACTCAAAATCAGAACAAGGAATTGTTCATTCCCGGTGGAAGGGGAAATTTATAAAATGAGGTTATTGAATGGTTACCTGAGCAGGAAATTGCTTCCCCAGTTTCGCAAATGCACCAGGCACAATATTGATACCTCCATCACAGGAAGCGTTGAACACACCATGAAGTTGTCTCTTCTCATATTCATATAAGAATAGAATCATTCCAGCTTTAACCTGCTCTACAAACTGGATTTCAGTTGATGGGAGGCCAAATAGTCCCCTTTCGAAGCATTCTCTTTTAGTCTCACTATTTGACATAAAGATTGCTCCAAAATCCGGGTCTTTCCCATCAGCATTGTTTTGCTTATCGTTCAACCCCATGACGAGATATATTTACTATACTACGCTGTCACATTAGAAAATAAACAGCAGTGTCTGCGTTGTGTAAATATAGTCAGACGTAACAAAAGCGTTTAAAACTTCATACATCAACCAGTATTTGGAAAGCTCAAATGACAACCATTACTGTCAACCTCTACAGTTGAAATCACAATGATCGACACACAATAAACTCGTCCTTAAAAACTAAGCAGCAATCTATATGACAATGCTCAAAAGAAGAACAAAGCACATGCACATTCGCTTCCATCACGACAAAATATAGTATGCAACATGATCATCCAGTTCAAACCAGCCAGACCTAAATTATTTTCTCTCTAATTTTTCGTTTCTAAACAAAAATAAATAAAATAAAATCTTGTTAAACAAACAAACAACAACAACTCTATTGTCTGATCGGAACACAAAGAACTGCGGAAGAACATCCACAAACGCAAAATAGAATGATACGATAAAAAAATATGAAATAAAGAACAACAGATGAAACGACGCAATGACGAAAAAGATAACAAATGATTGAAAACGTTACGAATAAAGAACACTGCAACAAGGAAGCGATGATGAGAGAGAAGCGAAGAGAAAAAGCGTACCGATGTAGAAGAAAAAGAGAAGAAGAAGGGTTTGAGAGTGAAAGAAAAAAAGAAGCGCAAGAGACGCGACTGTGTGTAGAGCAATCGACTAACCGTTCTTACAAGAGGGAACCGCATGAATATAAGTGGGTCATTTTGATAAAATTATTTGAAAAAATATATATATGCAGGGGTAGTTTTCAATGATTTTCTGTTATGAGTGGCTCCTGAAAACACGTGGCGCGCTTGTGTGTTCCACGGGGCTCTGGTTTGGGCTTGGAATACGCCACTTGACAAAAAAAAAATACCAATAAATATTTTAGGTATTATTACAATTTTTTTTTCTAATTTTCTAATATAAATTAGTATAACAATCATGCTTGAAGATTAAATAGTTAGTCCATAAATAAAAATAATTAATTCATGTTTGATATATGAAATAATAAAATAGCTGATTTTAATTATATTGATATAATGGTGATTACTGAAATCAACACCACTTATATATTTATGTCATGAAAGTAGAATAAAAAATTATATCTTATAAGATTTATTAATTTAATTAAATATACATTAGTATGATAATTTCTTTCTAGCATCGTTCAAGATGTGAAAAAAAAAATTGACTAAATAAGTTGTTTATTATATTGTCCTTAAAAAGGTAGAGATGTTCTCACAAATCAGAGATGGACTTTATACTTGTCTCTCTTCCAAACTAATTTAAGATGAAAATGTCGGTTGTGCTTCGGGTTCAAGTTAGTAATAAAAAATAAACATGTCTTTTATGAATAATGCATATATATTATTTTAGTAAGTTTTAATTAGGGTAGACAAAACTGCCTTGTTAAAAAGCTGTAATGAATGTTAAAAGCTATAATAAATTATAAAGTAATTTGTTTTAACTGAAAATTAATTTAAACGAATTAAATTCAATTCTTTTTATTAAACCATATTGCATTAACCTAAATTAAAATTTGTATTAAAATTTTTTTTATACTTTGACACAACATAACTTTTTAAAGTCAAAATAGGCCGAAAAAATACTAGTCGGATTGGATTAAAGATTGAAATAGAGGGTGTTGCTCCCTCCACCACCACACCTTTCTCCCTCCACCTCTCCTTTACTATTTTGTCCCTAAGGTAAAAAAAAATTTTTAGAGTTAATTTTACCCATTCAGAACCTATTTCACTAATAACCTATTATAGTCTCGTACATGAGTAAAATACTTTTCGTTCATTTTAACATTATATTTCTTCATCTCTTTCTTTCGTCGTTGTGAGATACTACAAGTTGCAAAGGTTGGTGGTAGTGGAAAGAATTATCAAACAGTCTCCCTCTCGTGGTGCAGTGTCGCTCTCGTGGTGCAGTGCGTGGAGTGGTGCAGTGCTTCCTCCAGGTGCGTATTCAAATAAACCTTGAAATAAAACCCTAAAATAAAAAACGTAACCTTTAAACGGAGGTGACATCCTTCAACGGATGTCAACATCCGTTTAAGGAAAAACGGATGTCAACATCCGTTTAAGAAAAAACGGATGTCGACATCCATTTTACCTTAAACGGATGTTGACACCCGTTGAAGATGTCACCTCCGTTTAAAGGTTACGTTTTTTATTTTAGGGTTTGTTTTATTAGGGGACATTCGTTGAAGGATGTCACCTTCATTGATGTATACTTCCTCACGCTGGTTAATGCTCTGGACACTCCTCGATGTTCCTCCACACCACGGCGGCGATGTTCCTTCACACCACGGCGGCAATGAAAGCTTTCAAACCAAAAAAAAAAACTGGGAAGAAAAAGGAATGGAAGTGCGAGAGGTGGGGAGGTGAAACGGAAATGGGGAAAGGGGAAGAGAGTTCCATGGGTGGGTGCTGGGAAAGTAAAATTAGGGTTTCAAATTATTTAAAATAGGGTAAAAGTAAACATCTTTTTAACTTAAGGATATAATTGTATTTAAAATAGTGTGGGGAGGTGGAGGAAGTATAGGGTGGTGGTGGAGGGAGCAACACCCTGAAATAGATCAACCTAACTCAAATTTAAAACACGTCGTAACAAAGGTTAAAATGGATCAAGTCAAAGTAAAAATGGGTTAGATTATCACATATTCAAGAGTTATTCCCTTCACCACCACATGTTGCTCCTTACACCTCCCTAATTTTTTTTATTTCCAAAATTAACCTTATTTAAATATTTATTTCTTATTATTTTCCACACTCCCTTTATTCCTTTCTCCCTATTTTCTTTTTCATTTTCGCAGCCCCACACCCCTACACCCTCATAGAAACTTTATTTTTTCCTTTCACTCTCTTCTTCCTCTCCTCCTAATACTTCTCTTATTTGTGATTTCTATTTCCTCCTCCATTTTCGATGCTTCCATTGTCACTGAGTTGGCTCCAGAGATGGTTGGTTCGCGAAGAAGAGTGTGGTTCATGGTTGATTTCGCCACAAAAATGCTGGTATTTGTGCGTTGTTGTTTGATAAACGTAAAAGAAGTCAAACGCGAAGACCTGAATGGATATGGGAGATCCGTTCGACCTTCAACGGATCTTGATTTTCGTCGACGGATGTCAAGATCCGTTGAAGGCCCAACGGATCTCGCATATTCGTTCAAGCCTTCACGTTTGGCTTCTTTTATTTTATTTTATTTTTTGTTTTAGTTTATTAATTTTACTTTTTTGTATAAATTTTTATGTGTAGTATATAATTTTATATTTTGAGTTATTTATTAATTTAATTATAATTATTTAATTTGTTTAAAATTTGTTCTGTATAAAAGAAAATCGTTCAAAGGTCAAACAAATCTTGATTTTCGTTAACGGGTGTCAAGATCCATTGAAGGCCAAACGATTCTCTCATATTCATTGATCCGTAGGGTAAAATGGGAATGTGGATGTGTATGGAGCAACATGTGGTGGTGGAGGGAGTAACCTCTCAAATATTCATACGGGTCAGACTAGGTCCAAGATTTAGATAAGTCAGATAAGATTAAAGGTCGAGACAAATCGACTTGGGTCAAAGTTTGAGACGGACTAGATCGGGTTAAAGATTGAGATGATTCATATCAGGCTAAAAGTTGAGACGACCTGGGTCAAACCAAAGGTTGAGGCAAACTAGGATTTCCAAAATCTTAGGACGGGTTTAGTTCAAAATTTAGTGGGGAGGTGCACGACTGAAACTCGATTGAGTCTGTTCTGACCGAAATTTGGCCTAATGTAGACAAATTGATCCCGACCACGAATTCAGCCAGGACGACCATGACAAAACTCGATAGAATCGGTCCCAAACAAAATTTGGTGGAATTTGACCAAGTCGACCTCGACAGAGACGAGCGTAGTCAAAACTTAGTCGAATCAGTCTTGACTAAAAGTTGGCCATGGTAGAAAATTGGCTGAATTTGGTTAGGACGGCCACAAATGAAACTCTGTCGAGTCAATCCCGACCAAGATTTCACTGAGTCGATCCGATAAAAATCGATCAAGTTCACCTAGGATGGTCACGATCGAAATTCAGTCGAGTCAATTCTAACCAAAATTTTGTCAAATTTTGGTTGAGTTAATCCCGACCAAAAATGAGCCGAATTCGACTAAAACTGAGTCATGTTTATCCTACCAAATTTTAGTCGAGTTGACTTCGACCGAAAATCTATCATATTTGACTGAGTCAACCCCAATTAATGTTTAAATAAAGTCATAGTAACCAAATTAAACTGTAGTTTTAAAAACTTTCAAATAAATAAAAAGTATAAAACGAATTAATTTTAAATTAATGAATATATTTTATATTTTAAATTTGAAAAGGTATTCAATGGAAATTATTTTAAATAACGTAGCTTTAAGTATAAGTTACGAAGAATAAAGGTAAAGATTATCTTATAGATATTTGTTAGCTTTAATAACTAGAATATCAATCACTCAAAATCATCTAATAAGTTATGTATTAAATACAATATATTGTATAGAATTATTTTCAATTTGTACCGTTGAAAATTATTTTCAATTTATCATCATATTTTAAATTTTTTATTTATTATATTTCTTTATCATTTATGTTCTTATATTATTAACTATATTAATTTAATTACTTATTTTGTAATTTTATATAGTGTCATATTATTTATTTAGTTCATTTTTTCTCACAAACTACCCGGGCATTAATCTACTATTATATAATCATGTTTACTTTACTTAAAATATCTTACGAATTAGAATGAATAAATATTAATATTATAAAACACTTTCATAATTATAAAAATACTCCATAAAATGTAATAAATTAAAATTAAAATAATAGTATATAAAGCTGGAATGATTTATTTGATTGATTTAACTAAAATATATATTGCTGACAATTACCTTCACTATTATTCCATGTAAAAAAATTAAAAAACTACTATAATATTATCACGTGATATTTCTTATATGATAGTTTTTTACTCTCTTGTATTGTTTAAATTATCAATTAGACATTTGCATATGTACTGATATTGCATATTAAATTAAACTGTTATTATTATTGATATAAAAAAATAGGTTATATTTTGATAAATAAAATAATTTAACATTATCCATTGACAATTTATCATGTGATACTAGCAAATACATACTCTCTCGATTGTCAAATATATACATAAAAATTCATATTAATTACTATAATAAATAAATATATTTAAATATTAATATTAATTCAAATAACTTCTATTCATTCATATATATTTCACATAATTTTGGTTAATAGACATTCTTTTAAAAATATCACCTCTACCAATATTTTTCTAGTTGTATATAACTTTGTTTTATACATAGTTTTAATAAAAAAATCTTAATATTAAATATTTTAACATAAGCTTCGTATTTGTTTATTTTTTATTTAAAAATAGCTAGTTTAATTGGTTTCTAACTGTAAAATCGTTTGTGCAATTAGTTTGCGATATATAATTTTATTTTATTTTTCAAAACAATATTTTTGAATAAAAATATTTTTTTTCTATGTTTTTTCGATACCAAAGTTATTTTAAATTAATTTATACTTGATATTGTAACATTGATTTACGGAATACTTTGAAACAATCACTTATTTTGTGATATCAAGTACGAGACACTATTAGTACATTTTATATAATATATCTTAATTACATTAAATTTTAGTATTTTTTAAATAAATATGTTCAAATATAGATCAGACATATATGCATTTTCATATGTAACAGTCCTATCCAAACATTTATATAAATTAAAAGATATGCGCAATCATATTTTATAATAACTATCTACCAATGAAAATTCATTTTTATTGGGTAACAAAACTGGGAAATACAAATATAATAAAACCACAATCAATCTAATATTACTAGAATAAATTATGTTGTTATATAAATTGAAGAAGGCTTGTGTGAGATTAAAAATAAGGATATCATGTGCATGTGCAACTTCGCCAAAATATTAAGAGGGTGTTAGTGTGATTTTCACTAATAATAATTATTTAGAATACGTCTTTGCATTAAAAGATCATATCATAATGCTGTTCCAAGTTGAGAACATATTCAAATTACAATAGCTAAAAATGGTAGATGTGAAGCAGACATCCTGCTGTAAATTACAAAGAGAGTTTACAACAGAGAAGTAAAGAGCACAGATCTTAAAACCTCATATTCCATTAAGAGTGACAACGACTCTTCGTGAGGTAGGATGATCTCGATGCTCGCATAGCCATATACCCTTAAACATAAAAGAAGAAATACGTTATTAATTTGGATATTACATAAACTAAATCGAGGTGTGTGTGTTTCCAATATTTGAAGCAGTAACATCTGCAAATATTAACTAGTTATTCGCGTCAACCAAACCAACTCCAATAGCACAGATCCTACCATAAAATATTCTAACCATCAGCATCTATAGATAACTATAGATATTAAACACTTCCATATTAAATGGGATTTATCTATATGCTGAGATCTAGTTAATTTCTGGGATGTCCCTCCCTTTTTTACCTCTATAATATCCTTCTTCCTTTACAAACATTAACCTAAAACAAACTACACTGACAGTCTGTATTACCCAAAAAGCAAATTACATTTTGCACCCCTGTAATGGTTGTTGTTGTAAATGTATAAGAAGCAACGGAAGTCACATGCAATCTCAAGAACTTCTAAGAGTGTTTGTATAGTATTTCAATTGCGTTTCTCAAATTATAAAGATTAACTTCTTTAAGAAAACCCTAATGCACAACAATAGTATATGAAATTTCTTACTTCTTAGCATAAATGTTCACAAACAAATTAAAATAATCAGTTTCCATTATTTATATTGTTCACAATCCAGCCCAATGAAAATCAGTTTTTCATTTGCTCTCACAGGAGATAAACTACTCAGTCAAAATTTATAACATTGTCTTTGTCCTTACGGAATCTTACAAAATAAACTCTGCTTTCATCCATTAACTTAATCTCCAGTTCAGGGCATAAAATAGGAATACGCTCTTCCAAGTAAAAAATGGATTGAGAAACTTCCGAATACAGTGTGAGAACTATCGATCTCGAAGGAGAGCATTATGGAATTTGAAATTTGTTAGTCAAATAATAGAAGGGTTTTCCTAATCAAAGTTAGGGTATAATGAATCAACCATTATGAAATATATTCCGTCAGGGCATAGCATCAATGGTGAATTACCGGAGGTAACAGCTTTTGAAATACCATCCACAATGAAAGAATTGTTTTAATGTGCACATGCATATGATAAACTTAGATAGTCATTGATCTTTTAGTCAGGGCCCTGATTTGTATGAGAATTGGACAGGAATTGAATTCTTCATGAACGAGTTCCAAAATATTCCAAAAGTGATGAAAAAAAGCTTGGTTATCCAAGTGTACTTTCACTCTGCACTTTAAAGTTGTACTCCCTCCCTCTCTCCCTCACAACCTCTATATATAGAACCAACATAAATTTGAATGATTTTGGAAAGATCTTTGCACAAATGAATTTTATTACCTGCCACGTCCCCATGTTAAGCTTCCCATTTGTAATTGGTATCCTAAAAATAAAAGAAATCAGTAAATGATGTTAGCAGTCATTTCAGTATAATGAATCAAACTGAAACACGGTAGAATTCCTCACGTCAGTGCACAACCAAACATCGACGATTTAATGTGAGCCGGCATGTCATCTGGCCCTGCAAAATTTCAATCTAAATAAGATTCCCCGTTGTCACAAAAGAAAAATATAATACATCACTACAGAAAATATACCCATATTATAAAAAGAAAAGCAACAGCTCCAAAGGACCTTATTTGAATAAACTTCTCCATTAGAAAAAAAAATATATATATATATATATAAGTTTCTCCACAAATTAAAATTGAAATTAGTCACAAATTAAAAGAAATTATATGATAAACCTTCTTTACATTAGCCTAGGCACGAGCTAATTTTAAGTTACGGAAATGCTCATTCATTTTTTTCTTATCTTTCTCTTCTAAAAGTGCTTATGGAGCGAAACTTGTCCAACGATAAGTAATAACCGACTTATGCTATGAAGTTATGACAAATACAAGCAGGCAAAAATCTTAGCACACAATCTTCAATCAGAATTTCCACATCTTATACGAAAAGCAAGGATAATAACTGTATCCAATCAGAGAAGCTTTATGGAGGATATATAAAGTAGAACAAGGACTTAAAATACTGAAGCTGAATCCATGGACATCAGAGACGTAGTTATTTAAAGAAAACGAGAAAATAATACCAACCCTCAAGAGTATGCTTCCATGGAGCAGATGATCCCTGCAGCAGACATTAACTAACGCGTTATAATTGATATAAAGAAATTACGTGACTAGAAAAAATTAATTAAGGAGAAAGAAACCTCAGGAACTATCCGATTGAGGAAGGTTTCGGTATCATGGCGAACATCAGAGTCGTAATTCTCGTTGATGGTGAGAGAAGCACTGGTGTGCTGCACTGTCGTTTGGTTTGCCATCAGAAATTCCAAGTTCAGTAAGAGAAAACAAATCATGCAATAGATAGGTGTGTGTGCGTATGAGGATACTCACAGAAGAGATGAGCGAGGCCGCACTTGAATCCGGAGAGGTCTGGTTCGATTTCTTTGACTATCTGAATTGGAGCGAAAAGAAAATGAAGGGTTAGGGTTTTGAAAAAAGGAAAAAGGAAGGGAGAAAAGGAATAGGAAAAGGGACCTTGGAAGTAACTAGATGGCAGCCGCGCCTAAGCGGGGGCAAGCTAACGGTTTTCTGGGCCCACTTAGGGACGGTAGACTCGGCCATGGAATCCTTATTAACGGTTGGGATTTGCGCGCGTACACTGAACGATGAGGCTTGCATCGTCGTTTTGATGTTTCTCAGTTTTAAACCCACGGACAGAAGCAGGTGGGTTATGCAGCAGCAGGTTACAAGGATACATACCCCGTTTCCCCATCTTCTTCTCACCCGTGGCCCAGCCCTGTGGTCCATACCTTACCACACATTTCTTTAATATTTTAAAGCTTAATTAATTTTTAATTTTATCATAAAGTTATATTTTTATTAAAATTTCTAAAAATTAGAATATATATTAAAATAATTTTTAATTTATCAGTCAATTTTATGTTACTTCTTAATATATTATATGTTTATTTTATCAATTAAAATAGTTGCAACTAATATTTTTCAATTAAGATGGAGTAAATCTATTTTTCAATAATTTAATTATTTTAATATTTAAAATTGGTTTCAAAATGTTTTTTAATTAATTAACATGTATATAGTAAAATGTTTAGTTTTCAAAATCTTTACAATTATCAACAAGATAATAAAAGATGTTGAAAGAAAAAACAAGAAACATCAAGTTTTATACTGGTTTAGTAATTTAAGAATTTACTTCCAGTTTCTAGTAACCTCAGCTAGAATTCCACTAAAATATCAAGAATTGGATTATAAGATTTGTCTATGCAGAACTTACACTCTAGATATACCCTAATTATGCAACTTAGGCATCAAAGGTTAAACTTTAGCTTAAAAGTCAGGGTTATGTTGATCATATTACTCAAAACGTGACAACTATTGATTCCCCTACAGTTACCGTTGGTTGAAAATTGATGCTCAATTATACATTCTTCTCAAGGCCCTTCACTTTTCTTTAAAACAAATTTTTCATTCCTACGAAGTTTAGAAATATGGGAACATGCAAAATTATTATAACCAACGTTTTATGGTGTTTGTCATCATCTTTTTAATGTTGTTGCTCCTCGGCATCGGGACCTCTATGCTCTATTATATGAGTAAAATTCATGCTCTTTATCATGAATTTAATGAATTATTGCCTTTTGCCTCAACTCTTGCCCAAGAAATAAAGTAATGATTAAAGTTCTTCATGTTATTGATGTTGCACGACCATGCTGATGAATATTGTAATCAGATTTTGGGTTCACCTATTGTTCCCACTTTGACTTTTACTTGTTTCACTATTTTTCTTATACCTAGTAAAAACATCAATGATACACTTGTTTCCTTTATGTTGGCATCTCAATGTCATGATCTTAATCACTCTCGCAAGCCAATTTTGTGGGGTTGAGTTAGGCTCAAAGTCAACTTCTTAACATGGTATCAAAGCCAGGTTAGAGCCTATCCTAACAAAATTTGTTGGGTATATCATTCTACTCGTTATTGAGTCGGTTTTGTGGGGTTAAATTAGACTTAAAGTTCACTTATTAACATGGTATCTAGAGCCATGTTCTTTTGAGAAAACAACTTTTCTCGCCTCTACCACTACACTTGCCAGCGGCTACGCTATTTGACGTTGTCGGCCATCGCCGTCATCTACCACTATCGGTGGCAGCGCCGTCATCTGTCATTGTCATTAGAGTTCCAATTTCTTCTGACAACCACACAGTTTTGATTGTCTTAGCTAGGCAACCATCGTGCTTTATTGACACCTTCATCAAAGATTATACGCTTTCAACGCCATTCTATTTATGGATGTGCTCCACTTTTTGTCATATGTGGTGATGTGTCTTGTCTCCTCTCAAGAAAGGGTCTATAGTGTCGAGGTCGCTCTTTTTACCTTTTTAATTCCATTGTACGTGGTCACACGTTTTTTCGTCTCCTCTTAGGCAACGATTTAGAGTGTTGAGGTCACTCCTTTTCCTCTTTCGGTTCATCGTGCGTGGTCGCACGTTCCATCTCCCCTTAGACAATTATTTAAACCATCAATAATGCTCCTTTTTTCTTTTTTAGGTGCTTGATTAGAGAATATTTGATTTTTAAATTCTCTCTCCTGTTCATCAATGACTTATTCTGTTGTTGTCTCTTTGACCCCCTTTTGTCACCATTGCGTTTGACCCATCAATATATGTTTTTTCTCCCATGACAAAGATGACTTTTTTTAGTTTATTTGTAACCGTGGTGGTTCTTCAACAATGACAATTTTATCCAATGGATGTCAAGAATACATTCCTCAATGACGATTTGTAAGAAGAAATTTGTATGGAGCAACCTCCCATATTTGTTGCTCAGGGAGTCTTTTGGATTGATATTTCATCTTTTATGTCGTCTTTGCAAATTATTAACAATTTGGTGTCACTTGAGTGTAGAAGTAGATATTTCACCAAACCTTTACTAATTATATTAATAATAAGTTTGGTATATACAATTTGTATGCACCATCTTAAGATTGAGTGTTAAATATATTATCTTTAATTAGTTTATTATTATTTCTTTTTTGTATTTGAGTTTAACACATATTTCTTTTATTATAAATAAAAGACCTTATGTGTATATTCAACACAAGAGACATTAATCTTATACATAGTTTTCACTATATTCAACACACTTTAAGATTTTCAACCAAGGTAATGCTACACACAATTATCCTAACCAATCACTTACATAGTGAATAAAATATAGAAGAACAATAATCAAAATATATGAAATGAATACACTTGTATGATGTGCAAATTTTACATCAATCTTAGGCTAAACCAAGAAAACCTGGAAACAACTGAATCTTCTTTGATTCTTGATGTAAACTTGAAAATTCATATAATTCTCCATAGCTCTCAAATATTTCTTCCTCTTATTTTTTTTTCAAAAATCATAGTTAAGAATGAAAAGAAAATTGATTTTAAAGACAAATTTGTTTATTGATGATATAATAGATTTTGAAAATAACGTATCGGTAAATGTTCTTCAGCTTTGAAAACTTGTAAATGTGTTTTGTTTTAATCAATTAAATTAATAAGCTAAATGATTAATAAAAAACAATGACAAATATATAATTTGAAAGATTTATTTTCGTGTGAAAACCAATCTAATTAATTATATTGTGATTAATTTAACTTTAAAAACATTCTAACTTGGCTTACAACATTTCTAGACTCAAGGAGCAACTGATATACACTACCAACTATTCTATCAATCAAACATGACTTAACATTAAGTAAGAGTAATTCACATTTTATACATTTCTTTTGCATTAGGAATTAGACATAAACTTACTTCTTAATACAAAATTTGTATATTTTTGAATTAAGTTGTGTGGTTTAATTTCGTAATCTTATGTCCAGTTATATAATGTAATCTATTTGATTTCCATGTATGATATTTGCGATAGCCTATAAATGTAAAAAGCATAGTAAAAATTTATTTTTTAACGGCTAATTTTTATTGAAAATATACGTATAATTTCACTAAGTATATACTTCTTCAAAATTTCTAAAATTAAAATATATACTTCACTTCTATATTATAAAAATTTATAGTACTACATTTTATTTTATATTTTTTAATTTTTAAACGAAAACAGATTGAACAAGTAATAATTCCTTTAGTTATAGTCCAAAATTAAATATCAAAATTTCAGCATATTAGTGTGGGTCAAAATTTGATATTTTTCTAAAGAGTTTCAATACAAATAATAATAAAGGAAAAGTATTACACAGGATAAATTAAGTGTTTTGCATAAATTTAATTCCTTGAAAGTGTAAACTAAATTTGAATAGGTTTGTAAGAATTTGAAAAGTATTAATTATTTTTTAAAGTGTTACATTAATTAAATATAAAATCAATTAAAAAATATATAAAAAAATAAATTTCATTTTATAATTTGATTTTGTAAAATTAAGTTAAACATAAAATTTACTTCTTATCCCACATTCGTTAAAAATAAAATTAATTTAAAGCATGTAACATCACTCTACAAATTATTCTCGTAAAATTGATTTCTTAACCATTATTTTAGAGAGATTACTAAAATAACGTTCATCTAAAATATTAGTAACAATTGTAACGAATTAAAGTTAAAGAAAGGGTATAGTCTGAATAATAAAGACAAATGTACATGAAAATACTCTATCCTTTGTTTTTCTATATTGCACTTTAAAAGAGTTTGTCATACAAACACATGACATATTGTTTCATACTTTAGAAAAAAAGTTCATATTTTGTACTAATAATTTGGTTTATACTTCAAATTTTAAAGAAAAAATGTAGGAATGAATTTTAGTGAAAAAAAGTTCTTCTTTATATTAAAGAAAAGATAATAAAAAAGATTGTTAAAATTAATAAATAATGTAATGAACTTGATAAATTAAAAAAATATATATTTTAATTAATAAAATTAGATGATTATTATTTTATTTTTATAATTAAAATTAATTTAAAATAAAATATAGTCTATTTAAATAAATGATTATTATTATTATTACTGATATAATTATTATTAATGTTGGTATTATTATTAATATTATTTTTATCGTTAAATAAATTATTATTTTTATTATTTACATTGCAATTTAGGCAACCTCCTCACGTTCTTATCATTTTTCCACCACCGCTTCTTCAACAATCCCTCACGCGATTCTTTGTTCAACTTCAAGTTTTGTTCAATATATTAAAAAAAAATATTTTTTTAACAAACTTTTTAATTGATCTATTTTAATGGTCTATTTTAATTGTTTTTAAAAATAAATTTAAACAGATATAACTAGAGGGTATTTTTGTCTTTCTTTTCTAGTACTTTTCCCGCTCTTCTTCACATGGAGTGAGGTCTCAAAGGGACCATCTCTCACATTTCCCTGCTTCTGTTTCGTCGCATTTCAGCAGATCCAAACGAACTCACGAGAATCAAACACAGGGTAAGGGTCTATTTATTTTATAGATATGGGAAAATTATTTTGAAGAAAAAGAGAAATGGAAGTGTGATATGTCAGAACCCATAAAAACACACCAAAAAACCCCAAGTAGTGGGATTCATGTGCCAAGAAGTTAGTGAACATCTCAGTTAGTGGAGAACAGGTGGCTGCAGGAGAGTGACCGTTCGCTTTGAGCGCCAGCAGTATTTAAGGCCAAATTTCAAATTCGTGTCACTTCTCTACATGCCTTTCTCTCTTCCCACCCTGCTGAACCATTTTCCCTTCTCTCTAAAATCTCCTTCTTCTCTCTAAGAAAACCTC